ATAATATCACAAAAATTTTACTATTGTAAAACAACCTAGCTACCTAGCTAAATAAATATTAATTTGGCATGTCACATATCAATACGTAATGAGTTCAAAAGTTGAATGTACTTCTAAATTTGCATTATAAAATTTTACTGCTATCTATATTTTAGCAATCTTGTATAGTATTTTGAGCAAATTGTTATTTTTAGCAATCATGTCACATATCTATATTTTTGTTCTTGGATAATCAATTTTCTTTTGAGATTAACGATTAATTAAAGGCCTTTCAAAATTTGTTAGTTCATTATCACTTTTAAATATTTAATTTCATGCTACAATGATAATTCATATTTTTAATCTAAATTTATTTTTATTAGTCATCTCCACATTATTTAGTTAAGTAATACATAAGTGAGAATATTTTTATAGTTTACGCGAATGCAAACTCTAGTTGAATTAATCTTAATGGAATAGTTGTTAGTGATCTTTCTAACTTTCAATAAGGTTAAAGTTGATATTTTAGAAAAAAATAAAGGGATTAACCTACTAACCTTTATTTATTTGCCAAAAAAATTTAACCCTTCATGTTAAATAACTAAATTAATTTTAACCCCTCATAAAGGGTTAACTAAGTTAAGCCATATTCTTAATCCTTCTCTCTTAACTCTTTGTCAAATGACACCTAAAGGAATAAATGCTTTAAAATGATCATACTATCACTAAGACATTAATTCTTTTTGACCATTGTGTTCCTTTTTTACTTTTTTTGGTTAAACTTAATTTTCATTTTAATGCCCCCCCCCACCCCCCACCCACACCCCACATCCAAAAAAAAACAAATGCTCCTTTTCATTGTTAGGTTTACATGCAAATCTATTTTTTTTCTTTTTTGAAACATTAAACTCCTTTTTTTTATTATCCTTACTTGCAATGTTTGCAATAATTGAAACTTTTAAATTTTTAAAAAAAACCAGTTTCCTAAGCAAAACCCATCGAACCAAAGTCTACAATTTCAATTGGGTTTGGTTTTTAAACTCACGTGGATTTTTTTTCGACCAAGGGTTTAGTCATTGTATATTTTAAATTAATAATATTAAGCCGGTTATTTGAAAAAAGTAAAAAGATAAAGGGAGATTTTGTGAGATACCTCATAGTTAATGGGGTTTAGTCATATTTTAAAAGTCGAGGGGTGTTATCTACAACACCCTCAAATTTGAAGGAGATTTTATAAAAATAAAATAACCGAGTGAGATTTTCTAAAATTAAACCTTTTATGGGAGCTATGGCATTCTAAATCATTGCAATTGTTTATTTTACATTAAGTACTGTAGCAACTACAATTTTCTAAACTATATAGTGACAACTGAAGATTTACACAGATTTGGTTGTAAGTCTTAGTTTTCTCATATTGTAGACTTAATTAATTATATCTCTAATTGCATCGTGTAACATAAATTTAGAAAATATGAAGCCCAAATACTACATATGTTGGTGCAAATTGTCAAATTCTAAAATTGAATCAAACCATTGCAATTGTATGCAACTGATTTGCATATAACTGATGCTTGCATTGCAATTACAATTGCGGCGATATTATAACAATCCCTGGACTAGATATAGATTATTACTTAGCATTTGAACGGATTGCCTTGAAATAATTGGCTGTACCTTATGAAGTGCAAAGTGGGTGCTTCCTACTTCAACAGTGAGATCACTTGATACATCAGTGAGAGGCCTGAAAAAAAAAAGATTAGATAGAGGAAAATTAAGCAAAGAAGTTGCAAATTATGAATTAAAAAAGTTAACGAATTAACACTGAATGTTGTTTATATTAACATCCATACAATGTTTTTGGATACATGAAAACTGTAAATCTTCATGTAAAAAAATTGAAGAGATGAGTTGGTTACCAGTCGTTGACCTGCCGAGTGCTCGAGCTTTGTCTGAATGTTCTCTTCCCTGAAACGCTTTGCTTTAATTCAGTGACTGTTGAAACACCCATCTTTGTGTTTCTCTGAATTCTGTTCTCTCTTTGAGAGAGAGAGAGAGAGAGAGAGAGAGAGGTTTATGGATCTGGAGTGGGATTAGACTGCTAGGGAGAGAATAATGTGGATTTTATTGGAAGAGAAAAAGTTGTTGTTTATAACAGTTAGGCACTTGATTGCTAAGCAAGGGATTTGTTGGTGATTACTCTAGTACTACCTTTTTTTCTATAGCCGAAAGGGATTGAAGTGTGATCAGAGAGTACATGAGCTCCTCCTTTATGCTAATAGCCCCTTGCAATTTTTAAACTCGTTACGTTGTACATGTATGCATACCTAAGATATGATTTAATGTAGACTACATATTTTAGAGGGAAGTGAAGATATTTAATTAGGGGTATATTGCTAAAAATTAATCTTCATTTCTTTCTAATATTTGGGTTGACATACATACAATATTTTTAGTGAGAAGTGAAAATTTTGTTCCTATTATATCCCATATTGTTTGTTGAAAGTTTTTCAGAAAATTAAGAAGAATGGTGCATATGTTATGGGAGTCATTCAAATATATAATTAACTCTTCTTTGTTGTTTTTGCTTATAATGTAAATAAAGTAATATAATTTTCCGCCTTGTACTATTTTTGTTTTAGATTTTTAATGAAGCAATAGTGGGATTGGAATTCTTTGATTTTAACTTCTTTTTTTTTTCAAAGAATCTCTTGAAGTTTTATTTATACTTTAAGTGAGATGTTTAATTTACTGGATGTTATCAAACATGATCAACTAGTGGAACACTGGGAATCGTTGTTGACTATTCATGTCAAGGATGCTCAAAATACCATCAAGATTATGTATCCTTGACAGACGCCTATTAGGGGCTGTTTGTTTGGCCGTTTTGGCCTTGGGAAGCGGCCAGAAAGCTGCCAAAATGGCAGCTTTCTGGCCATTTTGGCAGCTTTCTGGCTCCTTCCCGAGGTCAAAACGGGAGTTTTCAGCCATCCAAACAGCCCCTTAAGGATAGCCTGTCAGCAACAAAATCCCATCAAGATTATGTATCATTGACAGGCGCCTATCAAGGATAGCCCATCAGCAAGTAGGCCGTTGGATTGTATTGAGTACAATAAAAAGATTGTCATTCTTAATTATTTAAGAATCTTCAGGTTTGTCTAGTTTGTTGCAAAAAATAAATTGTGGCAAATATTGCATGCAACATTTGTTGTAGGAAATCAACTTCAAATTTATTATTTGGGTATTTGCTATTATATTGTAGGAAATCTATTTTCAATGCAAATTCAATGTTGGGTTTAAAAGCAATTCGTGCAAAGTTGGGTGTAGATGATTTTCTAAAAAAAAGAAAATTTTGGGTTTAACAAGATTTATTTTGATTTGGTTGAACTATTTTTATTATCTAATTTCTTTTTTTTAAAGTTTGTAGCTTTTCCTCCCATCAAACTTGTGGTAACAGTTGTTGCAAGTTTTTTCCTCCAAAATACAAGTCCATTTACTTTTCCTAATTACGAAGTTGCGAATCAAACAATGTATTTACAAATTCGATTGTTCTATTTACATTTGCAATACTATTTCCATCCAACCGTGTAGCCCCTAATTAAGTTTGTATCTTTCCTGATATGACCCAAAATGTGGACAAATTGAGGATCGATGCAGTAAATAAGCCATCGAATTAGATGAATCTCATCATATATTTGGCATACACTAAGTACTACTACTCATGCAATAACATACTTGCAGGACAACTCAAAGTAAAAGATTATATGAATATATTGAAAAATGGGACATTATTTTATACAGAAACATAAGGGTTGTATACTTGTATATGCAGCTAATACTTAATAAATAAGTTGATGGTATGTGCGTAATGTTATTTTAATAAAAAGGGAAGGAAAAAAAAAAGGAAGACCCAGTGCTGGCATTCTTCCACTTAAAAGCGGTGGTTTGAGATTAGTGGGTGGAATATGGAGCCTCCATTAAATCTAATTGATTACCAATTGATATATGTGTACCAATCGCAGGAATCCAATGGGTTCTGTAGTGCTTTTTGTAGCACCCTTCACTCATGATTCCTAACTGACCTAGTTCTTTGGCCTCCATTAAATCTAATTGATTACCAATTGATATATGTGTACCAATCGCAGGAATCCAATGGGTTCTGTAGTGCTTTTTGTAGCACCCTTCACTCATGATTCCTAACTGACCTAGTTCTTTGTGTGGAATATGGCCTCCATTAAATCTAATTGATTACCAATTGATATATGTGTACCAATCGCAGGAATCCAATGGGTTCTGTAGTGCTTTTTTTAGCACCCTTCACTCATGATTCCTAACTGACCTCCCTAACCACCTCAGTGAAGGAATGAGAGAGGGATTGATTTTGGGGATTCCGATAGAGATTTTCTCAGTTGAGATCATTCAGAGGTGAAGTAATCCTCTCTATATAGGCTTTCTATTACCCCTCTCCGTCCGAAAAAAACTGCCTAATTTTCCTCCGCTATCCCGCGTTCTCCGTAACGCCTGATCTTGATTAGAGAATATCCCACAGAACATGAGATATCCCCAACAACCAGATCACATCTTAACGGGTCGGGTAACAATTTGGTCCATGAGGCCAAAACCCACTTACATCTCCCACTTGGCCGAAATGGCCAAATACTTTCTGAGCATACACTCCCACTATCCGTGAGATGTGACTCAAGATGTAATTTCATACTCCCACTATCC